GGTAAACATAGAATTTCATTACATTTATTCGTATAGGTTGCAGAAGTAATTGTTGGTACCCACTTGCACATATCCTTTAATTCGGTAGTGGTCTCTTGGTGGTTCGTGTATATCTTGGTAAAACATATAGACATACAATACAATGTTTTCTTTGAAAGACATCTGAAATGAAAAAAAAAACACAAATGCCCCTAAAAATAGGGACAAAAAAATAAACGGGGCCCCGGTTATATTAATAAAATAATATATGGTCATAACTAATAAGATCAAATTAACAATAATAGGATAAAAACCTTTAAATAGGCATATCCTCCTAACAGTTATTTGGAAGTCCTTGTGCTTTGTCGTGCGAAAAGCAATCAATTCTGTAACCCTGAAATATAAAGAAAAAAGATTTATACATATTACTTAGCAGTAGCTTAGTCTGACCAATTTCTCCTATGGGTTGTGGAAGTAGTTCCTGGTACTCTCTTGGTAAGCAATTTTCTTGGAAAGACATCTGAAATGACATAAAAAAACACAAGTGCCCCTAAAAATAGGGGCAAACATGCACACGGGGCCCCGGTAACAAAAATAAAAATATTATATACTTATACCTAACCAAGGTCTAATTACTTAATATTAACTTATGAATACGAGAAAACCTGTAGGTATCCATATTGAGGTGAACTGAAAGGGTTAAGGGTACTCTTGTTAGAGTGTAAAGATTGCTATTTGGTATGTTTAGCATCTCACTCCCCAATATGAAGGGTTTACCTTAGCGCCCTAATTCGACTCAACAAAACCTGCAGTTAGCAGTGGAGATTTTAACTAATTACACAATTAAAACAGAATCTACTTACCAACTTATTGATTGTTACCGAGTTATGTTTGCAGATCCGAGAGCTTGACCGCATTTATGTATAGTGATGCATTAAGCCAAAATTCGAATGTACTAACGATGGGGTAATGATAAAGCTAGAAATGATTAAAAATGTATAGAACGGCGTAATTACGCAGGGGAAAGCTTAAAATCGGAAAACTCGATCGGATTTTTCTAGATCGTGTTCTTTTTCCCTGGCACAACATCACAACCATCACTAGTGCACTAACTTGTGTCCTCCGTATTGGATTGACCGCCTGAGAGGACTGATACTAAAAAACGATCGCGACTCCGGACCTCATACGATAGGAGCCTTATAGGCAGGTGAGGATTTAGTTTAGAAATCTATCTTAGGAAATGATGTATGTAGTCTTTATCGCGACTCTGGACCACATACGACAGGAACCATATAGGCGGGCGGCGGATGTAGTTTGCACTAAAGGTTGTGCAACCCTGTGGAAACTTGGCATGCTGTCGTTACAAAGACCCAATCACTTTTCAAGTATCAGTCCTCTGAGGTAGTCAATCGAGTCGGAAGTACACAAGCCCTCGAGGCAGTTAGTGTATAGTGGTGCGTGTGTTGTTCCATGGGCGAAGAACACACAATCCAGAAAAAGTGAGGCTTCTCCGATTGTATGCGATCCCCTTTGTCATCACGCCGTATCATACACATCTATAATTTCAAGCTTTTTGATCAACCAAAACAATAGTATATCAGAATTTAGACTTAAGACATGACTACAAAAATACAGTCATATCTCTTATGCACTCTACAGATAATTACCGGTTTTTATTAAAAGTCAGATTGGGGCGCCAAGGTAAACCCTGTATATTGGTAAACGCAATGCTAAGATGTACCAAGTAGCAGTCATTGCACCCCAAAAAGGGTACCTTCAACCTTTTTAATCCACCACAATCTCCTAGCAGTCCTGGTGCTTGCCGTCGCGGTGAGAAATTAATTCTGCAACCCTAAAATGAAGTGACTTGAAAGAAATGAAATAGACAATGACTTATAAATACTATGTGGTAGCCTGCTCGTATTTATTCCAGTGCTCTGGTACATCATATCGGTGCACATGTTCTCCTGTTCGTTGTAGTACTCAACCCCCTGGTATCTTTAGTCGAGGCCCATTTACACTAAAATAAATGTCAATTTTGTTATTTTTTTACATAATTTAGGGTTTTGTATCATCTTACCTTTTTTTTAACTTCAAACAGTACGTCTTCAACATTTCTCCGTTTAGGAGAATTATTGTGCAATCACAAAAAATTTAAATTATTTTATTAAAACATATTCATTGCATTGCAGCAGAAAAATCAGTCAAAATAAAAACAAATAATTTATTTAACAAAGTTTTTAGATTTTTAAACGAATTATTTACATCCATGCTACTAATAAAATAATTCAAAAAAATTAAACATTGTACAAATAATATTAATTATAAATTAAAGTGTATGGGGTTGCGTTGCTTCTGGGAAAAACATCGCAAGGATCCACACACCAAATGAAAAAAAAAAATTATTAACGAAACGCGAATTACTAGAACCTGCCGTGGGGGGTAGGCGACAGGAACACATTTAAACGCGGAAATCGTTTTAAACGATATTAAAATTACGAATAAGTCCTCGCACGAACAAAAAAAAATGTGGACGCAAATAACTCAAAATTATAATTTAACAAAATTATAAAAAATAATTAAAAATTGTCAATGTGATTGAATAAAAAAAAATTCATGCACAATAAATCCCTAAAGCAATCCGCCACTGCGCAAAATACTGTATGAAATCTGAAACAAAACAAATGTAGTCAATCGTAAATATTTGAAACATAAGATTTATACTAAAATTTAATATTTAATTATATTTAAATTTAATAATCTAAAGATTGCATTAAATTATTTATGTTAACTCAAATAGCTAAAATAAATATTTTCACAACAATAAACACTAAGGCGACACTTCAGCACAAATATATTGTATTAGAAAATGTAACGCAAATCGTTTAATATTAAAGAGACGAATTTTTACTTCAATTTATTTACATTCTTATAATTATAATTCAACAGAAAATCAAGTCAAATCGAATTAACCAAAACACTAGTTCCATGACACGTATTTGAAACTGAATGCACGAAATGATTACATAATACATAAATATTTTTTAAAAGACTTACCACTGACTGTAGTGTCCATTCACCGAGAGGTCCAAATACAGAATGATTTTAGTTGCTATTACGCACCTTTTTTATTGGGGTCAGAAAGGGACAAAACTATGAATTGTTACCAGATGATACTAAAATTCAAAAATTGTTATCTAATTGAATAGTTTTGGGTTCGGAACCATAGAGGGTGCAATACGAAAAGTTTATTGTTCCTCACAATCAGTCATAATTCAACCTTCGTGGCGAGATGATCGAAATTATTACTGCTAATATTTGCATCTAGTTCTATTTGATTCATATATTATATTTGATTTGATTGTGAAGTATTATTTGTATTAAATACGTTTTTATTTGTATTTGCGTCTTATTAAGTTGTGCGTTTTTATATAAAATTGTAAAATAAAACTAGTGGCGTATGGCATCGTGCCTTAAGGCAAATTGCTGGAACTTTCCGTACCGTAATGGAATCTTCGAGAAATTTTAAACGGTTTTCAAATATATTATTACAGATACTGCAACTTTCTTATTTTTGTTATATCTGAGCAAATAAAATGTAAATCATAAATCAATTTATCTGCAGAACATTAACAATCGTCATTTCTTTTCGAATTCAATTAAAAAAAAAATAGTTGCCTAATTCACACAAAATTGGAAAAGTGCTTCCGTATAGTCACGAAAAAATATTTTTTGAAAAAAAAATAGAAACAAAATTTTTTTTCCAAAAGTAATTATTCTGGTGAAACAAGCAGAAAGTTCTTTGAATCATTTAAATCGCACGCTTAGTTCTCTTAAAAACTGCAATTTTTTTAACATTTAGCTCTGTATCTCCGAAACCGCTGGTCCTACCTTTGCGACCAGCGTCCGATTTAAATGATTCAAAAAAACTATCTGCTTGTTTTAACAAAATAATTGATTTTGGAAAAAAAATCTGTTTCAATTTTTTTTTCAAAACATTTTTTTTGTATATCGAAAATAATTCAGATTTTATTTTTGATTCTGACTAAAGTTTTAAAGCTCACTTATATACTTTTTAAAATAGTTTCAACTTTGCAATTCAGTTTATATAATTCTTATAAATATTATACAATGTTACAGTATTTATTTGTAATAATCTGCCTGTTTACATAAAATTTAGATTTTATTTTTGTTATAATTGCTGTGATCTCTCATACCAAAACAATTGTCTGACTGAAATACAGTATGTATGAATTATATCAAATAAATAAAAAAAAAATAAATAAAAAACTCACACTCGCACATACCTGGAATCACCTCGAATTTTGCTTGAAAGATGAAGCAACCAATAGCTTCTTTGACGGCTCGTATCTCGAATTTTGCTCGTATGACGAAGCAAACGAGCCGTTTCTTTTGCGGCTCGTATCTCGAAAAACTCTCATGACGAGTCGCTTGTAAGCCGGGGTACCACTTTATATTAGAAGAAGTACAAAGACAGTTGAGTTTACTGAATATTCAAGTTGATATGTACCTAACTGACTTCATGATATAAGAATAAAGAATTACACTGGAAAATTTAATGCACTAAGACTAATAATTTAAAGTACACTGAATTTCACTAAATCTTTATAGTTTTAAGTGAAAATAGACAAAAAGTTGTCATTATGGATTCTGTGTGAACGGATGTATTTAAACCGGTTGCAATATTTTTTGCTTTATATTTACATTCGATTGCATATCTATTAAAATTTATTATTGTTTGGTACATAATAACACTATTATAATGCAGAATTAAATTCAAATAAACGTTTATAAAAATAGTTCTCTTGTTATTTCAAATTTTGCCAATGATTTGACATAAGCGCGAGGTTCCCGCGCGAATTATTATGTCGGTTGGTAGTTGGTATCCCTGCGCGGTTAATATATCGAGGGAGGTTAAGAATGTTTATGTCAAACAAAATGGAAATTGAAAAAATCTGATTTTATTTTATTTATATTTTAATTTAAACCGAAACGTTTCATATATTGTCAATTCCAAAATCATCTGCTAAAAATTAATCTAGCTATAGAGACGTGAATTGTGAATTTAATGCATTAGTTTTAGTTATTTTTAAATAACCGTTAAACACTACTTGTTATAATAATTGATATGTATAGTAATAATTAAAATTTGCAAAGAAATTTTATCAACGTTAAAATGACAACTGCCTCAAGATTGAGAATTAAACTAGCAGAAAGGAAAGATGTACTAATAGAAGCTAAGTCAGATCTTTTAGAATTTCGAACAGAAGACAAGTCGATCAAGATATGTTGTAAATGTACAGATTCTGAGAAAACAGAAGAACTTCTTAATTGGACATACAACTTAGTAGAAGAAAATGTTAAACACTAGTATGATGGATTTCCTTTATATACGCATGCAAAATTGTAATTATGTAGTCTGCTCAAATGTACTTAGATTTTTTTTATTAACTCTTTTATTTACAGCTGTCCAGTAAAGGACATTCAGTGAATTTGATGAATTTACAATAGTCGGCCGAAAAGGGACATTGTATACTACATTGGCATGTTGGAAAAAACAACTCAGTAGTTGTTTTTTCCATTCGATATTAAATTCACAATATTTTATTGATAATTATATATATCTAAAGCTAATTCTTTTATAATTATAGTAATTATTTTAAATGACCCAAAATATATTTCAATGGCTTTCATTAGAGTACTTTATGAACCAAAACTTTCCCAATAATTTCTTATTTATTTTATTTTGGTTATTGAAATTTTTATGTTATATGTATATTTCAAACTTAATTCTAGAACATCAAATTATATCAAGAAATACATATACGGATGCCAGTGACTTATTCAGTAAAACCTAGTATATTTGATTTTGTTAACTATTATTTATCATATATTTTCAAATTGTTTACTATTTATTTATTCTAGTTACGTTGAATCACAATGGGGATGGAATCCCAAACGAAAGAAGTCAGAAATTAGTTCTAAATGGGCACGCTTCCTAGTTGCATATCATAATGATATACCAGTAGCATTTTCCATGTTTCGATTTGATGTAGAAAATTTTTATACTGTTTTATATTGGTAAATGTAATTGCATAAATTATATATATATATATATATATATATATGTGTGTTAATAAATTTACTGCAATTTATCTTTTAGTTATGAACTGCAAGTAATTAATAAATATCAAAATTTTGGCATTGGCAAACATTTAATGACTATTTTAGAGCATATTGCATTAAAGCAAAATATGGAAAAGGTTGTGCTAACTGTATTCAAAAAGAATACTGATGCATTCCAATTTTATATGAAGATTGGGTAAATATATGACTATATATTGAAAAGTATCATGAAGTATATTTGTAATGTTGAATTTTTTAATACTATTATAGCTATGAAAAAGATGAAATATCTCCTGGTGAAGATGATGGCGAGGATTACTATATTTTAAGTAAAATTGTAAAACGATGATGACCCTATCTTTCATTAGAAACATAATGGTTATCAGTTTGTAATTGCATTAAATTATATTTTTAATTTCAATACATATTCTTCTTAGATATTCAAATTATTTGTTGTTAATTATGAACATCTTGCCAAAAGATGATAGTAACAATATATGGTACTTGCAACTTAAAATTACAACTTTACATTTCCTTATATTAGTTATATATTAGATATTTATAATCTGTATGTTTTACATATTTATTCTTCAAATATTTTTTGTTTTTAAAATTAAATCACTGAGTTGAAAGTGAAAGCATTTGGACCCGCTTTTTTAAAGCTTTAAAAACATGCAAATTGTTCTGGCATTCTGTTATGTTTCAATAGAAACATTTCAAGTTTCATCTGTAATCATCTCTAGTGGAACATCCAACGGATTCAATTCTCTATCTTCTTGTATGTTTTTTATATTTGCTAATAATGAATCAGTATGAGTTTCATAGATTTTTACTTTTTTGAGTGATATTTTGTTAGTCTTAATTTCACTCACAAATGATCTTTCTGCAATAAACTTACTTTCATCTTCATGTTCTTTAGCTAAGTCTGCTAAAATTTTCCGCAAAAACATATCTGTATTTTTGTTAAGTTGACATGGATTCACACCTTGCAATGCTTGACTTATATATAAATATATTTTTTTAAAATCTACATCTTCTTCGGAACCAGAATTGTGCACACCAAAGTCACTTATAAGCTGCATAGAGAAAGCTATAGGGTTGAAGTACCTTGGAATATCCATATGATATTTTACTGTTGAAAAAATAATTATAAACTATGAAGAAATGTACATAATCTAAAGTAAATAACATAACATCTAAAATAAATAACAGATTGGATAAGAAAAATAACAATTTTTTTAAAAAATTATGAAGTTAAATCAGCCAAATTCAAATATGAAATTTTCCATAAAGGTAAAAATAGCTATTAATTAAAAATTAAATACATTTAAGCCATACCAAATCATCTGATGAAAAAAATAATTGATAAGTTTGGTTATCACTCTGACAGTCCAATGACCAATAATATATATATATATATATATATATATATATATATATATAATTTTAAAATAACACTAGATACTTACATAACAAATCTATCCACAAATCGATGCAACTTTTATCTCTATTCCTCTTAGAAACTCTTGCTGGTCTTTGACTTCGTTGTATAATTGAAACAATTTGCTTGTATTTTGATCTCAATTTCATCTGATTTCTAATAAAGATCTCAATGTCTCCCTTGGAATGGTTTGGCAGTGCTTTACATATTTGATACATATTGCTCAGTCCATATTCCTTAACGACTCTTAAAAATGTAGTTTTGTCTTCAACTGACCAGTCAGAAGATGCATTTGTCGGCATCTAAAATGAAAAAAAAAAGAATCAAAGTTTTGCAAAGGATAGTATTATAATATCTCTTAAAGTACGTACATATGCAGATTGAAGTAGAAACTGGTTGGATTGAACATATCCTTATCAAGACACATCTGTATTCGAAATCATTAATATTGTAACAAGAATGGCTTATCACACAGGGAACTATACTTACAAGAAAATAATTATGCAATTGGCCTCTACAGCCCAGAACATTTTCAATATGGGGAGGAAGCTGAAGAATGTTTTCTGATCCGCAAGTTCAAAATTAGTTTACATATCATATGATTCAAAATATTCACATCAAAATGTTTCCAATACCCAATATAATATAAATCAAAGTGTAGTCTTCTGCTGTTACTACATTATCTACCATTGCATGGTGTAGTTTCTTGGCTTTATTTCAAAGTATGGTGAATCTGAGCATGTTATTATGAATCAGGATTAATGATTGTAAGATATTAAAGTTTCTCTTTGACAAGACTTGATCTATTCCAATGCAATATTGACGCACAGTAATTCATATATACCAGAAGATTTTTTTTTTATTACTTTGATACAAAACAACGATTAAGATAGTTTGAGATTTGAAGTCTTGTATGTTTACTTAGGTAATAATACAATTTGCATATGCATTATTGGGTTCGAATGTTTAGCTACTATGACAAAAAATAAGTAATTTGTACTGCTCAAGTAACATTGTGTAAATTATAGTCAGTTATATAAAAATAAAGGGTAACATAGTAATAAAATTCATTAATATATTACTTAAACTTCTAAAAGTTACTTATTTTAGTTACGGGCTGTCCTTAAAACATTCAATTTCATTCAGGATTATTTATTAAATTCTACTTTTCAATTTTTAAAACAGGGCAAATAATAATTATAGAAATATGAAACATAATGAGTAATTAGTGATAAAGTCAATCATCTATCAATGTGAATCCATAACTAATTGAAATTTTTTTTAAGTCAAAACTCATGCAAGAAAGTAACTAAAAGTTTATACAATACTTCTAAAAAATAAAAATTGTTTGGCAAACTGTTCAGACACTTGGATAAAAACTTGATAAGTATTATTGAAGTAAGACTTCTTACAGTTACAAAAAATATATTATTATAATGTATAGAAATCTAAACAAAATTGAAGCTAATGAAAATTGAGACAATCATACGGTGAAGTCAAAAAATAAAAATACACATCATATGGTTATATCATTTTATTAAATTAAATGGAACTTGAGACATTTTTGAAAACAAAAAATAAAATTAATATTTCTTTAGTTTTTCTTTTATTTCTGGAATGAGATCAGCGAGTTTGTTAAACTGTGTGGCCGAGAGTGATATACCCTTTTTTCCAGGCTTCATTTCACCTGACGCATCAAGATAATGCTCTCTTATATCAACCATTACTTTCCCTTTAAACTCACGTATCGTTACTTTTCTTAATTTTTCGAGTGTCCAAGTGTCTGATTCGGATTCTTCTTTATTTGATGAGGGGGTTTTCGATTTTTTAGACGGTGGAGGGTTTCTCTAAAATAGTTATTTCAAGTTAAACAAATTCGTTAATAACTAGATCTAAAGAATTTGATAATTGTACAACGAAATGTCAGGTAGATATAATACTGATTTGGAAAAGTCAATCATAATGTTGGGCAGTGTAAAACAGTTGAAACCTTCAGTTTTTTAGGCTATTTATTTATAAAAGCTTGAATTATAATCAATTACTTTAGATCTTTTAGTATGAATCAACAACTTACATCAACTGGCCCCTCATCGCTATCAGACGACTCCTCCTCTTTTTTGGTCCTTTTTGGAGGCATTTCTGGAAACGTGATATTATGATATTAGTTAAAGATATAATTTATTTTTGAACAAGCGGTATTTTTCAATTAGATATCCGTAATTTAATGCAACATAATCATAATGCATCATCTAAAGTTATTAAAAATATAAACATCCAAAATGTTTTTTAACTATACATATACTTCTTACAATTGAATTCTGATAAACTTTGTCAACGACATAGATTATTAAATTTACCTTGATTTTTTATCGTATATAACTAGGGGTGAGGTTATAAATAGATAATCAATCCTGGAACATCAAAACCCTAGACAATATAATAAACTGCAAAGTTCTCACGGCTCTTCAACACTTAAACAAGTAGGAATACAATGTGTCAAGCTGTCAAGTCAACTGTTAACAGTTTTGCAATATGTCGTTACCATAGATAAAAGAAGAGTATGGTCGTTACACTGTTTTTAGCATCAGGGGTGTAGTTTGTATTGTTTACTCATCACATCGAACATAGATAAAAGAAGAGTATATATGTTTAGTTCCATATGCACCCGATAGTCACTACGTAGTTCCTCACGATTTGGGAACAATTTTCCATAGAGGCGCTGCATGCAAACGCCTTAGAAACGTAGGAATCTTGGTGGATTCCTATTGGATTCTTTTATACGCTATTAGATATATGATTATAGTAACGGTTTTTAAGAAATATCAATATATAACTTATATATCGCTTTATGCGTCATTAGATATATAATTATGGTCCCGGTCATAGATAAACAAGTATAAATAGATAGCTATCTCGGGCGATTTGACGTTTCATCGATTGAAGTGCGGAGCTAAGATTATTGATGGCAGCACATGTTCATTTTGTAAATTAACCCCTGGTATTACTTCTACATTTGTACATATAATCATTACAGCCAAAAAATCTAAAAAATTTTTAATATTTGAAATAAGAACAAAACATACGAAATACAAAATATATTTTCAAATATATCACAGACATATTTTGGAAGAAATATAAACTAAACAGAAATAACTGACTACTATTAATTAAAGTATATTACAAACATATTTTTAAAGTACTACAAACTAAAGAAAAGTAACTTATTAATATTAATTAACGATATTAATATTAATTACTTAATGACTAATAATAATATATTAAAAACTTAAAAACTAAGAAGTGAAAAGCGCAGGAGTATTGACGATGGAATTACAAATTTAGAAGGAATGGCAAGTAATGCAAAAATTTTAAAGAATAAAAAGAACAGCAAATTTCTAAAAAAGAACGAATACTTTCCAAACAAAATAAACCTCGAAACTAAATAGAGATAAAACTAAATTCCTAGGATTAAAATTCATTTACGAGATGTTCTTCTTTATTATCTCTCCATTTAATAGTTACTTTGCTATCTAATCAATCATTAATAAAGTTACATTTGACGAAATCTTTAAATAGTTTCTGTGTATGAGTGATTTTTAAAAATCACATTTACTCATTTTATGATCATGATGAATCCATTAACATTAAAACTTCCATAAAAGATAAAAAAAACTATAAAGCCAGGTGTTTTCAATAAACAGAATAAAAATGTATGCATTTGATACCTTTGCAGACTTTTTGTACAGTTTCAAAGCAAGAATTATGTCCTTACTTATTTTCTTTGCAAATGGTATTTAGAATTAAAATTACTTGGCCCTTTCTCTGGATTTGCACACTGTCGTGTTTTTTTATTAGATTGTTTTGTTTACCCTGTATCAGAATTATCGCCTGATTCTACATCAGAATGCTCTCCTAGTCGTGACTGTGTGAGAGGAAAACTCTTTCATGATTCCCGTAAAGGAGATTTGTCTAATCCACACACTTCAATACAGCTCAAAGAAGCCTAAACAAGAAGCATATTATTATATAAATTATTACAAGAAAGACAGATACTTGATTTAAAGATACAACTACATTATTCAAAATAAAATATATAAGCAACTTGTATTTAGTTACCTGAAGTAAGATTACTCTCCTTCGACAATCTGCCACTGCCTCTACATCATTTTTATGAATTGACATTGATATACCAAGTTCTAAAATAATTATTATTAAAATACATTCATATAGTACAAATCCGGCATATTTAGGCTCCGGAGAACATGAACTTTAGGATGCTTTCTTGAATTGATTGAAAAGTGTTTGACTTCTGACATTTTCACCGTGTATTATTATTATACATTTTCATTATATAAATAAATATAACTCATCATACATACCTGGCCATCACTTAAGACGTGCAATTCAATATTCATTAGTTGAAACAACTTGGCACGTGACCATACTAAATTTAATTATTAAATATTCACTAGAACAGAAATATTTAGCAACAACATATAGGTTATTGGCACATTCGTACGACGGCTGTCAAATGCGCGAACGAGCGTTGTTGTAATTGAGCGAATGTAAGCCATCTATAATCTAAGCTTGGCAATACCCAATGTCAAAACACGGTAAAGCGTATTTGTTCAGAGATAACCCCCCATGGTCCCGGTTTTGAAGGAATATCAGTATATACACTTATATATCGCTTTATACGCTGCACGTTCTATACTTATATTGAGAATTAAAACTTGAACTAGTGGAGCGCATAGCATCGTGTCTTAAGGCAAATTGCTGGAACATCCCGTACCAATTTTTTTTTAAAAGATTAACATTTTGAAAAAAAAATACTTGTAAAAAATTAGATTTTTGAGAAACTACAAATTTTTGACAAAAACTTATTATTTTTTGAAAAAAAAGACTTTGAAAAAAAATTATTTTGAAATGTTTTGGAAATTCTGAACTTTTTTTCAAAGCAATCGTACTGCTTTAACTGCATAGAGATGTCGAAGCGCGTAAGCGCCGCGTGGCCGTCTAACGGATAAACATTGGTACGGAACCCATAGGAATGTAAACAAAATTTATACTTATTGCTAAAATCTCTATAAAATATCTGTGCATATATCTACTGATCATTTTTGACCGCCAAATCGCATTTTTTTTACTTTTTTTACTAGATCTCCGAAACCGCTAGACCTGCCTTCATAAAAATTTGATCAGCTCTTCATCTTGTTAATACAAATAAAATGTTTTTTGAATTATTCAAATCGAACGCTCCATTCTCTTAAAAACTGAGTTACCGTTTTTGGCACTTTTTGCCCCATATCCTCGAAACGGCTAGACCTGCCTTTGTCAAAAACTAATGAGCAGGTCTCCTTATCAATACGAACCGAATGTTTTTTGAATTATTCAAATCGCTTCATCCGTGTTCCCGAAATCGTCGACGAAAATTTGTATCCGCACACACACACATACACGCACATACACACACAAATACATCCATTTTTTCTTAAGGTATGCCAAAATGTTCAGATGGTTTTAAAACATAAAAATATATAAAAAAAATTATTTTCGATTTTTTTGTTATTACTATAATTTGCCCTACGGGAAGTTAAAAAAAAACATAAATAGTGAAAAAGGATTATTAAAACTGAAATTAGAATTTACAAATCTATTAAAACATATATACATTTACAAACATGCTTATTTGTAATTAGTGCAATCACAGTAGATTAGCACTACTTGTGAAATTGTAAGATAACTATTAACATAAATGTTATAAAAAAAAAAAAATGTTATTAAATATTCTAAACTGGAAAAAACAGTTTATTCACATATAATAATTTATATAAATAAATTTGATAATACAAACTCAATTTACAATTCACAAAATTTTATTGTTTTACAGGCAAAAGCGAGATTACATTAATGTATATATAATAACTAGCAAATAATATATATCTTTAAAACTAATATATAATTTGTCCCATATGGAATAAGCAACAACGGAGAAATAAAATGTTTAACTTAAAAAATGGTATTTTGAACACATTTCCATGGCTTTGATAATAATGTTTCTTATTAGTAAACATGTAACAAGTAACAGTATCTAGCACAAATAAGCAAAATTTTATAACTAACTTAATATTATACAATCATCTTTGTTTTTTTAGGTGCATCTCAAAAATTAGGCTTATTGGCACACATACTAAGTTAAGATTTTGGAAATAAGTAAGTTATGATTAGAATTGGCAGTATAATATAAGACTATATAAATTGGCAGTATTTATATTTATATAATTTCAAAACATTACAAATAGAACTAGAAACTAATATATAATATAAATTTAAAACTAATATATAATATATTACTATATAACATCTTCAATGGATTATTAATGAAAAATAATAATAATACATAATAAGAATAGGTAATAAGAGTAAAAAGTACAGCACTTAAAAGCAGTTACAATTAATAAGGTGATATTAAAAATACATTTGAAAAAGTGATTTTAAAAACCAACACAATACTAGTCCACAAATTCACAATCCTTATCTATGTTTTCATTATCTATCCTTATTTATGTTCACAATAATTATTTGTACACTGCAAATATATATGAATCTCACTTTTAATTGAAGTGATATGTATTACTGTGAAGATTTTTAACTGTAGATAAATCAAAATCAAAAGAAAATGAATGAAAAAAAACACACACATTATATATGTGTATATATATGTATATATATATATATATATATATATATATATATATATATATATATGTATATATATATATATATATATATATACTATTATATTCTTTGATAATCAAAGGATAAGATTTAGAGATCTATTATGCTATATTACGTTTATTAAAGAAAAACTCGTGTTTAACAAACAACAACAATTTGTCAGAATCCATGTATACTGAATAATATTGCTAAACATCAGCCTATTGAAACCGATGATTTAACCGACAACCACGACATTTTCTTCGGGAAATGTGTATGGCGGCACTTCTAAATTGAGTGGAGCTGGTCCTTTCCTGACCCTGCCCGAAGCGTCGAAATGCGAGCCGTGACAAGGACAATAATACCCTCCAAAGTCCCCAGCATTTGCTATTGGTACGCAACCAAGATGAGTGCACACTCCAATAACAATCAACCAGGCTGGTTTCTGAGTTCGTTCGCTATCCATCTGAGGATGGCGCAAAATGCTCAGTGGAACTGCATTCACGATGTCTACTTCAGACTGCGTCCTAAACAAAATTTAAAATAAATTTAGACAATATATTCAAAAAAATATTTGAAAATTTGAACACTTGAAAAGAATATTAAGTTAAAATGTAAAGCTAGTGCTATTTTCAATTATAATGCTTAGTAAATTTACTATCTGATTTTGGAAGCATATAATTATCTTAAGTCGAAACAAATCTTACCTATGCCTAACAAAAAGCGGTTTTCCACGCCACTTGAACGTTACCGATTTTCCTTCAGGTATTTCGGACAGCTTAATTTCTATTTTGGCCATTGCTAAAACATCTGCTGAAGCTGACATTGACAACACCAGATCATGTACAACAGCTTTTGCACAGTATAAACCAATTACCGCTGTACCTATATTGATATATATATATATATATATATATATATATATATAAACTTTTTAAACAGGCATCCATCCAGATAATAAAGATCAAGACAAAAATATTTTATTTGTTAAAGTGTTAAGTACCAATTTGACTCTTCTTCAGTGGCAATATGCACTAAGCGAAAACGTTACAAATAAAAATTGGTACTAGACATGTTAATGAATAAATAATAAAAAATTAATATGAATTATATTTATAAAATAAAATTAATTAAAAAGAAAAATAATAAATTTGAACATCACATTTATGTTTCGTCCTTTGAGATGTGATGTTCAAATTTATTATTTTTCTTTTCAATTAATTTTATAAATATAATTAATATTATTTTTTCATTAACATGTCTGTAAGTAACAATTTTTATTTGTAACATTTTCGTTTCGTGTTTAGTGCATATTTGCTTATGTTGTTCTATTGCCACTGAAGAAGAGTCAAATTGGTACTCGAAACGTATGAACCATTAAATTCAGCTTAACAAACAAAATATTTTTTCTCTATCTATATTATCTGGATGGATGCCTATTTAAAAAGTTTATAGTTTTATCAACATATTTATCACCATCCGAAAAAAAATATCACACACACACACACACATATATATATATATATATATATATATATATATATGTATATATATATTAAAATAATATTAATTTTATTAACAATATTTAAGGCTATAATTTTCAATTACTTGCTGTTAGCAAATAAGTGTACCCTCTTCTACTTTGAGCCGAGTCCGAACTCCTAACTTTAGGATTTTTTGTTGCAGTATGTCGATATTCAGAAAAGTCTGGAACTCTGATATCAGTATGCGCACTTCTTATGAAACTTGAGGACACTAAAATAAAAATAATTTTGTTATTTTTCATATTTTTTTATAATATAAATTAATTAATATATACATATTTGTTTTGCAAATTGTTTTATATATAAATTAAATATGGCTTTTTTTATCAATTGTTTTTATATTTTTATGTTTTTGGTCCCTTCAACATAATATTAAGTGGCAATTGTCTATAGATCTTAAATTACTTTTATTAAATTAATAAAAGTAATTTCTCTGACTATATCCACAATATTACGCTAAACATATTAAAGTTTTAATAAGTACGTGTTTGATGATTTTTCATAATACAAAAGAATCATGTTTTGCTATTTAAATTTAATATTCGAAAATCAATTTGGTAAATACAAGATTCTGGCTAAACTTATCTAATAAATAAAAAATAAAATTATAAGATCAATTAGGTAAATTTTGTATCAATTAGGCTTTATAATAGAGCAGATCTTATATCAGTTAATATTAATGAAATCATTTCTAAATGCTTGCTTATGAATATACTACATTTACAAAGATTTTTGATATTTTTAAAAATGATCTTACCAAACTATGAACCCTCATTTTATAAAACTGAATAGTTTAATAACAAGAAGGCAATAGCATTCTAGAAAAGTACCATTTTTAGGTGGAAGATTTATTTACTTATGTGGGGCAGATTGAGGGATGCAAGAGATCTCAGATTAGAGGTCACTAGCAAACCTTTCTTCCTAGATTTGAATGTAAACCTTAGTCAATCAAACTCTATGAATTTGACTATAATTAACTATAATAATTCGAAGATTGTCAATCGTTTTGATAATTATTTAAATTACTTTCGTTTACGCGTAATATTTTGCGCAGTTTCTTTTGTTCTATACTTGTATTATGTGAGAAATATTAATCTGGTATTAGCACAGAAAAGCGCTAATAAAATATTTCTTTTCAAGTTTGCTCGAAATAATTTCGGCATGAATTAAGAGTGAAAGAGATCTGCCTCGAATTGTAATTCGAATTATTTGCAGCGAGATACAAGTATAATAGATTAATTTTGGAAATCTTTTTTGATTGAGTGAAGTCATTTAATTTTAATAATTATTTTGGTATCGGCAATTTTTATATATTTTTAGATATTAAGGGGCACACCTAGTGTGACAATAACCTAATAAAAAGTCATTTATGAGAATTAAAAAATAAAAAAAACTAGTAAATCCATCTATTTAAAATTTTGAGGGTATATTTATACATGTTTTGAGAAAACACAGTAAAATTTTTGAAATAAAATATAAAATATTTTTGAAATGACACGCAATCTCCGGCGACGCCAAAAAAAGGTCCTCCACTGCTGAAGTGATTGCAGCCTTTTTTGATAAAACAAAAAATCAAAAAATTCTCGTTAAGCTAGAACATATTGCCTGTACGATGACCCTCGGGCGAACAAAAAAATCAAAAATTGACAAAATGGCAGCGTGTGGAAAAAAAGTTATTTTTTTCTCAAAAATTTAGTCGTTTTTGGCCTGCCAAAATTATATTCTTTATGCAGAACTATATAGAGGAGATGCAAAAAAAAATTGATAGCGATCGGATCAATTGTCTCTGAGTAATCACTCCAGCAAATTCGAAAAATGCTGTTTCGAGAAAAACGCATTTAAAGATAAAATAATCATTATACTATATGTTATATATATAATCTTTTAAATGGCTGTAACTCAAAAACTGTTTAAGAAATCGATTTGAAATTTTAGTATGTTAGTTTTAAAGGTATAGCCTACCGAAATATGGAAAAATTCAAAATTAAATTTTTTGAAAATTTCACACTTGATGTGCCCCTTAATAAATATATAAATAATAATAACTTGATATTAATGAGTGTTTAGGCAACATTTTTAATTTAGAAAAAAACATAATACCTTATTATTAGTGTTTTTTCCAATTGTATAGTACTATGAAATCTATAATAATACGCTTTTAATTCGAGCCCGAGATACGTAAATAAAAAAAGTTTAAATGAATTTATCAGACGAAGAAGATTAATTAACTAAATCGTAAATGGTATGTTACCTTGAGGCAAGTTGCAGGAACCTCCGACATATGTAAATAATTGACTTTTAACTAAGCCGAAAATGCTTTTGGGTTATTAATGTCAGAATATATTGCAAAATATTCAATTTTATACAAAAGCAAACATTCTATAGAATAGTTATTTCCGATAAATTATAGTTTGTTATACATTAGTTAGTTTTAAATTTATACATTATTGCTCAGAAAACGAATACACGTCTAATACAAATAATGTACAAATCCTACGAGCGTGGCTCATGATTTTAATGAACTTTTATAATTAAACCGCTTGTTGTGGCCAATAATAAGTTAAAATGATGGTTAAGAAACTCAGTCATCATACAAAGTTTCGATGAAATTGTCATTTACGACAAAACGGTTGGTGTCAAACGATTCAGAATGATTTGATACGTTAAGTAATCATAAAGTTAGCAAATCGTTCAATCTGACAAAAACGTGAAATTCTTAAGAAAATTAAAAAAGATATTATTACCTCCTAGTCCGCTGCGCATCTTCATTTTTCCACCAAAACAACTCTTGCATGATTGATTACTGGTGAACAAAATTTTCCGGCGCACTTCAGGTAATATCGGCTCAAATATGGATTCTACAGGTGCCTGTTTTTTATTTGACGTTGCCACCACGTTTGTGCTACGTTTGCACAAATCCGTAAAGATACTACCTTTAAGCAATGATTTCATGGTTCAATGACTCTCAGGTAAATCAAATCCGAAGAAATAATTTGTCCTAAATAACAGAAAAATCACAATTAGAATGAAATAAGCGTGCCAATATTATCACTTTATACAAATTTATTACCGTTTGAAACTAATAATAGATTTTTCAGATGTTTTTATGTTTTGATGGATATCTGAAAATAAAATTAGTGTTGCCGCAAGTCTAGGTTAGTTATAAACAATATTTATAATTCACAAGTGACACCAAATTTTCCAAGCAAAATTGACAAATCATAATAAAAACAAACGACTGTTGATGTAATTTGTATTTCTAAACTAAACATAGTTTAATTATTTAATTAATTATTAACAATATTTCTTTACAAAATGAGTCGAAATTGTTTAAATTCTAACATTGTGAAATTAACAAAAATCTTTCATTGAAACTTTTTAAAATAAATATAAAGATTTATATGAATATGCGCACACTGTATATGTGTACAGTTCACAGGTATATGTGTACATGAAATTCCGAATTATGATAAAAATTCAATTAAAAATTGTATAATAATTCTTGCCCGAAAACTTAAATATAGCTGATTTCGTGACTTCAGCATACTTTTAGCACATACAAATGTAAACTGGCACGAATGAAATAATATTCAGGAAAAATAAAAATTTTACTCTAGATATAAACTCAGGTTATTAGTTATTATGACACAGATATTTGTTTTAAATATATACATATCAAAAGCCTTTGATAGGCCCGGAAGGAAATTTTCTATACATTTCCTAATAAAATATCTGTGCCATTCAATTATAAGTAACATTGAATAATTCCTCAACGGTATTCATTTATATGTATTTTTATGCGTGCTAAAATAATAAAATTAAGCATTATAGCAGCACAATTTTAAATAATTGGATCTTTTCTTATTTTTCACATAAAACGCTGATTTACACACATATTTTTACATATAAAAGTTTAGAGTTTATATATATATATATATATATATATATATATATATATATATATATACCTTAGTCGATATCTAACAGTATTTGCATTATATGCCTATATGTGATACTTTATCATTAGAAATGGACGTACCTATATACTAATACTTTTCAATAGGAAAGTTCCAACAAAAGGTTTGCACATACTTTTCATATTCTAAAATAAAAGTTATTCCTATTCACAACATATTTCAATAACTTTCGATGCATTTTCAAAAGTTGGCCGCAATTAAGTAATTCTTTTGAAAATGAATCAAGGTGCTGAAAGATTGTCGTTATATTTATGAATTATACATCCATTTTAAAATAAACTCCATGATAAATGTTTTTTTCTTTAATATTATTGAACTTTCGATTCCAATAATATTTAATTATTTATAGGGCACACATGTAAATAATTCATTATTTTTTCTCAAATATGTTTATAAGTACTAGTCATATTGATAATATTCTACATACAATATTTTCTCTCGCCCTCATGCGTAAAAAGGCAAATTAATATTTATTATCAATAATACTTACTAATAATATCATGTTTAGTATAAAATGATATACATAGATTAACATTGTCTAATAAAACAGAGATATATTTTATAATTAAATATTTTGACTTTTAACGAGTATTCGTATATTTAATATTACATCGCTCTTATGCTGATAGAATAGAATAACCAAATTTGGTTCAAGAAGGTCTAATACATGATGGTCAGCAAACTAAAATGATAGAACATAAACCTTAATGTTTACATAGAAGTATGTTGAGTATTTGAAGTGTGGATATCGAATATAATAAGCGAGATTTCAGATTTAGCACTATGTTTGTTTCAATGAAACCTTCCCTATATATTTTAATTGTAAACATTATCAAACAAATAACACCAACTTGGTCCCAAGATCAGCTCGCCAGAAAATGCATATTAATATACTTTGGTTGGTGATCAAAATGATATCCAGAAATCATTGCAAAAAATAATATATGTGTTAAAATTTTAGTTCACATAATAATATACAGATTTATGCCAACTGTTTGTTATACCAGGAAATTGATTCCACAATAGTGCAATTTTTTTTGTTTATAAATAGTTTTCACAGCAGAAGGTTTGAATCAACTTTCAATTTCAATAACAAGTAAGCATATACTTACAATATATTTTATTGTTCTCTTGTCATGCATTTGTATTTTAATAACGATTTGTACATAAAGAAAATTAAATTATTAACGTTTTGTAAGATCAAGTACAATGTCGCAAGTAATTAAAATATCTTGTAAAATTTCGTTTGTTTAATTAGTTTTTAAATCGACAAAAGTGCCGCAGTAGAAAGTTCCACCATTTTGCCAATTTGCAGTTAGTAGAAGTTAGACTTTTAAAAGTTTTTATGTTGTGTTACGATATACATGTTAATTTACACTTTAAATTATAAAAATAATATTTAAAAAATATCTACATATAAAATCTTGATCAATTTTATCGCGTATTGATGCTTTTAAAACTGTAATATCATATTTTAAAGTAATTATTCATGCCCTGTAAACAAATTTGCATGGCTGTAGCAAATTTGATTACCGTGGTATGTTGAAAAATTAATTTTCAATATGATATATTAAGTAGTAATAAGATTTTAAATTTCAAATATATGCAAAGTCAAAATTTATCTTAAGTAATAATAATTGCATATATTGAAATTTGCATTCGTTCGAAACATAAGCAATTATTACGCCATTAATAAATCTTAACAATAATAATAATATAATATACAATTGATTTGTATAATATAAATTAAAATTTGTAAAATATAAATTAAATTTGTACTAAACAAAATTTCTTAAATATATTCTATATATTTTACTTTATATATCTACGTTCAAAACTATTTTTTATATATATAAACAATTAAAATTCGCGTACATCGTACAAATGTACTGGTCATTAAATACAATGTACAATGGTACAATGTACTGGTCAATAAATCAAAAATATTCATTTCCCATTCACAATTGATGATTTCGCTAGCAGGGCGATAGAGCAATGCTCTTATTAGTATTTTAAAAAACTAACGTAAATACGATTAAAATATCCGAGAAATCTTCATAGTTTTCTTCGACGTCTATAAAGAAATTAAATTGTTAAAATTAACACGCCACGATTTAAACTTCAGAGAATAAATCCAAACATACGTCGCAAACGTTCTTAATAAATTAATTAAATTAAAGTATTTTTTTAAAATACTATTATTATTTCAGACGGCTTCTGGTGCAGGAGCAGTCAGGCTGGTGCACACCTCCAGCATTTCACCTGACTCGACTTCACCATTTACCGCTCTCTGAGAATCTCTCCAAGGTATCAGCAAAATGTGTATTCGCTAAAATAATTTAATTTAAATGACAAAGGATAATTAAAAAATATCAAAATATTGTAAATATCTTCAGAAATCGTGGACATAATATAACATGTACGGATGGAAGAAAAAGTTTTGCGTTGAATAAATAAAACTGCTATTGCAAAAGCATGTCTTATCTATCAACGTAAATATTTTGAATTTAGAGATGAATATTTCTTCATTGAATGACTAAATATTTTCCAGTCTAGTAGATCTTTAACATTTAACATTCGACCCCATTTATCATTTGAGCCCATCTTGGATCAATGCCACGACTCATCCAGCTCGATATCAATCAGTATGATATCAAATTTCCACAAGCTTACGAAACTATGACTAATTGCATAATAAATTTTACTATCATAAAACATGTTCCACGCAGATATTGATGTTCGAATCAAAAATTCGATTTTCGCCATCGATTTAAACTTTCTACACAGTTAAGTTTCAGAATCATTTTCAATTAGTTTATCTTTAAAGATTCACAAACGTGGAAGTATATAAAAGTGTATAAGTATATTAGTATTAAAACTTATACAAAAGAATCAAAACGGATTCATTTACATAAGACTGACATAAAAATAAATCGACTACGATTGGATCAACTTACAAAATTAAAAGCACTAACCTGTTTAAGACTGCCTTTTGTCTGAAGAATTTTGATCACAGCCATAATCGGGATCATGGCAACACTTGAACCAGCAATGCACCAACCCATCACATTTGCCCAATAAGGGTATACGTAACCTTCATAGGTCAAAGGTTCGTAACCTGTAGCAATAAAATTAAAATGAAAATGAAAATTTAAAATTAAAATTGGTATAAATATTTTTTATAATCTCAAAGAACTTACCTAGTAAACCGTACATTGTAATGAAGATTAAGAATATAGGTGCCACAAATTTCCAACAAACTTTCCAATAGATACCAGGTGAGAAACCAATCATGTCCTTTATATCCTGGCAAAATCGTTCGGTGCCTATGGAGAAAAATTTATATAAATTATCGACTTGAAATAATAAATAAAACAAATAATTTTTTTTTTTTTTTTATTTTATTTTTATTCTGCAATCTATAAAAATAATTATATTTAGCAGAGAATGCTGACAAGTGTTTACAATTGGTTGTTTACAAATTAGCACATACGCCCAGTGGTGTATCTACTATAGTATATAAATATATAAAAA